TATATATATATATATAATATAATTTGTAAAATAATTATTATAATATAATTTTCTATTATTTTAGTATTATTTTGTTGTCCATGGTTCTATAAAATAATTAAATGGAACCTTGTTTTTTAGTTAACAGATTGCACAAAATTGCATCAGTGTTTGTGTCAGGGTTGCGTCAGGGTTACATCAGGAAATTATTTCTAACAAATTCAAGATTTATCATATAATAATTAAAACATTAAATTCATTAAATATTAATATTTAAAACTTCAATTTACAATCAAATAATTTTTTTTTAACATAAAACCTTTATCTATATATATAATTTATTATTATTTTTGAATTATCTTTTTTTAAATAGTATTATCTGAAACGAATTAAAGTATCGATAAACTTAATCCAAATCGAATAATAAAACTTTAACAAGAAGATGATCCTTAATGAAAGTTTCTTATTTTTTCTTTTTTTTTTTTTATATAACCTATTAAAGAAAACAGGAGTGGAATAGAGGGTGTTGTTAGGGTGAGGGGGATGAAATAGGCTGAGGAGTTTCGATTATATCCTTGATATCGATTTTAAAGGAGACTCATGTAATTAGTCGAGCCTTATTAGTCTCTCGAAATGACCTATTACTAGTCGTTTCATTATACATGGATGAAATGGTCCTTTTCCCTTCTTCCCTTCACCCTCAGTCTCCTTCAAATCCCTTTGTTGATCAGTCGAACGTAGAATAATTAAAATCAATTTAAAGATAAATCATCTTAAATGTACTTGGTTTCAAGATTTTGTATTTTTTTTTTCTTATTTTATTTGTAAATAAAAATAGTTGAACTTTGATGAAACCGAGAAATAATTAAACAAATTCTTGATAGGATGTTTGAAATATTTATACATAAGTATACATTATATATTAGTTGAATATATATGTATTTATAATATACAGATTTAACTTCAAAGAATAAAAGGGGATGCTACTTGAAAATTGTGACAATTTTAGTTGGAAATGCGGTCGAGTGGACAAACGAACGATTTTCTTCCCTTTTTTTTATTTTTTCTTCTTTTTCTTCTTCTTCTTCTTCTTCTTCTTCTTCTTCTTCTTCTTCTTCTTCTTCTTCTTCTTTTAAAGGGTCAAGGTTATCTCAAGAGAAACTCCTACTACTGCTACTACTACATCGTCATCATCGTCGAACTTTTGCGTTAGACTCTTGCTTGTTTTTTATATTTCAACCACTTAAATTTTTCTTGAATTATTTTATCATTAAATAGTCCCATTTAAAAAAAAAAAATAGGAAAACTGTCTTTTAATAGAATTTTTTTATTTATTTTTTTATTTTAACCATTTAAATATTTAGTCCTATTTTTAAAAAATAAAAGAAGGGAAATTTTCTTTTAATAAAATTTTCTTTTAATGGTACTTGTCAGAGTAAATTTCTTGTTTTTTTTTTCTTGTAGATATCTATGTCTGTTTCTTTGTCATCTATTCTCTCTAGATAGTTTATTGAAACGTGTGGCAGCACGTTTACGTGATGACATTACTCGATGAACAGAAACAACTACCATAGAGGAAAGAGAAGTGTACCCGACTTCAATTATGTTTTCCTAGCTGATTCATTAACGTTAGAACATCGAACGTGCAAACGAGTTTTTAATAGCTGAAGTATTTCCCATATAACCTTTCTACATATATATATATTTGCAAAAGAAAAAGAAGATTAATTTAATTAAATATTAAAAAGAAAAAAATTTATACAAAATATTAAGTAAAAAATTTAATTGATCATTTAGACAAAAATGAAATATGCTTTCCCTAAATGTTATAATTTAAATATATATATATATATATATATATATANATATATATATATAATTATCGTGCATATATTTTATAATAAATTAAAAACAATATTTTAAAAATATATGAAGTTAAATATTGTTAAATGTTAGATGTGTGTGATGAAAATCTTACCGAGCAATCATTGACGTAACAAAAGTCACCAGAGGCAGCAGTAGGTACCCAAAAATGTTCACCATTGAATGCACTACCACCCCAATCAGGGGTTGATCGTAGCTCACGTTGACCACCACTCGAGGCACCCTCTTCTCTTCCTCTGAAACCACAATACACTTTGTTCCTGAGTGTATTCTTCTCATCATCCTACTTCTTCACACCCACTTCTCTCATCCTACTTTCCTTCACATTTTTTTCAATGTCCACAAATATTATTTATTATCCTTGCATTGATTTCTAGTTAACTATTTTACTCTATTCATACTGCAAGATAATAAAGTTGGTCTTTTAAGCAAATATCAATGATATAATTGTTAACAAAATTTTGATCAAATAAAATTTGAGGTTTCAGAATATTTTTTATCTTCTTTTATTTTGGTTTTTTATTTGTTTGTTCGAGGATTGTTAAAAACTTTACGAATTATTTCATATTAGGATAAATCATTCGTGGACATTAAAAATAATCATAGCAACATTGTAATTGGCATATTAATGTAATTGATTGTTAATAAACAATCCTCCATTGCATTTCTACGAAGAATATCGTAGAAGCCAGTTAAAAGCAACGACGATGAGACAATGAGAAAGAAAAATTATGCGATTCAATTTCGTATTAGAAAGAAGATATAGACAAAATTGTTTATCCGATCAATCGTGCAACAACAAAAAAATAAAACTAAAAAAAAATAACATTTCACAAAAGCTGTAATATTATAAATCTCATTCTTATATTAATTTTAATCGAAAGGATATTTTCCTTTCGAGTTATTTCTTACCCCTAGCTAGGGTTGTATAAATATATATCATTTATATATTTTTTTATTTTTATTAATTAAATATAATTATTATTAAAAAAATATTTATTTTATATAATTAAAAATAATTTTAATGAATAATTAACTAATAATTACATTAATTAAAAATTTAATTATTAATTAAAATACGAATATTTTAATAAATATTTTTTTTTTATATTTTTTTTATTATATTTTTTATTATATATATATATTATAAATCATAATATATGATTTATATAATTTATTTGTTTTTTTTATTTTAATTATTTCAACATCAAAGAAGATAGAAACACACACAAACACACATAAAAAAAAAGGAAAATTATAAGAAGCAACACTCTGCGAAAGGAAATGCTCGAGATAAATTACATCACTTTCTTTCCTACTTTTATTATTATTATTATTATTATTATTATTATTATTATTATTGTTATTTTTTCTTTGTTATTATTTCTTTGTTCCTTTTGTTTTTGTTACTTTTTTTTATCTTTCTTTCTCTATTTTTTTTTTCTTTTTTTTCAGAGTCCTGGGGGGTAAGTTGGCTCGTTGAAAGGATCCAATATCGGATTGCAGGATCTCCCCGTAGTACGGTAACATAAAGAATTTACGGATGCTTGAAATTTCCTAGCTTGGTTGTCGTGGTAACGCCATCAGATAGAAAGAGAAAGAAAAAAAAAGAAAAAAAAAACATAGAAAATGATAGAAAAAAAATTAGAAAGAGAGAGAACAAAAGAGAGAGGATACGACTAATATGCAATTTTAATTATCAAACATTATTTAATTACATATATATATATATTTTTTTTTTTTGTTTATTAGGAAGAAAATGATTCAATTTTATTCTAAGGTCATTCCTTTCAATAATTTTTTTTTTATAAAAATAATTTTTTATTAATTAATTAGCGTATTGTATTGTTAATTATTATTAGATAAATATTTCAATCAATTATTCGATTGAGCGCCCGGGTCAACAAACCTCTCGTAAAAAAAAATCAATTATTCGAGTATAAAACACACACACATATTTTATTTATATTATAATATTTCTATTAGATTTTTTTAAACACTTACGAGATTGGTTTGTCAATGTGTTTTGGTAATTACTATGATAGAATTTTATTCTTTTATTAAATTATTATCCCCTTGCAATAATTATTACAAATAATGTACTCATTTCTTTCTCTCTATTTTTCTATATCATTTTTTTGTAACACATTATACACGTGTGATAATATTAAACATTATTTTGAATAATTGTTAAAGATCATTTTTTTTTCTCTCTCTGTCTTTTTCTCTCTTTCTATTTCTTTTTCTGTTTATTTAAAAGACTTTTAGTTGAACAAATAGCGACAATATTATTTGAAATACTTTCAAAACGGTTTTCCTTCTATTTACAAAACTTTTACAATGTACCTTTTTAAAAAATGTATAAAAATCTTGATTTCGAGAAGACATACACTTTTTCCTTACTAAAAGAAAAAGCAAAAGAAAAAGAGAAAGAAAGAGAGAGAGAAAAAGAGAGAGTTAACAAGCTGTGGTAACATCAACGACCATTGAATTTTTCCTACTTTTCTTCCACTTTACGTAAAGAGTTTTTGAATGACTATGTGTTGTTGTTGTGTGTGCTAAAACAGAGAGAAAAATAGGCTAAGGGAATAGGGATTTAGTTGGGTAGAGGAATTGAGAGACTTATAAGGCTAAGAAAAAACAAAAGAAAAAAAGGGGGTAGGAAAAGAAGATGAGGGGTGGGGTTTGGCAAAGGTGATAGAAAGTTGTGTGTTGTTGTACCTGAAACTTTTCATGTTTCGTAAAAATTTCAAATGAAATTCGGAATAGGTCGGTAAAGAGAAGAGTCCTTCTTCTTTTCCTAAACACCCCTTACACCCGTTCCAGTCACCCACCTACCCTGTGCGTAGAATTGGATGTTTAATAATGGATGCCAAGCGAGTCTCTGAAAAATTCACGAGTTATACTACGAGGTGGTATACGATGGAATGTGTTGTGTGGTCCCTGTAACCCCATCTACCCTCATGTACCCCCATCTACCTACCCCCATCCCTTATTTCTCAAACCCCTTCATACTTTCCACGTCAACCCACTGAATTTCATTCTCTTGATTGCTTTTCTAAGAATTTCTTCTTTCCTTTTTATTTTTTTGGTATTTTTAGAATATTTTATTAATTATCTTATGATTTTTTTGTAAATTTTAAGTTATTATTTTATTAATTTAATAATTATTTATTATATTTATTATTTTTTTCTTTTTTTATTACTGTAATTTGTAATTTGTAATGTGATCATTTGAAATTATGTTTATTTGTAAATTTAAAATTATTATTTTTTAAATTTACTTTTTTATTTATATATAATTATTATACTTTAATTATTATATTTGAAAAAATATAATATATTATTATATATATATATATAATTATTAAAACGTTTGATATAAATATGAAAATATTTGTATAAAAAATAAACATATATATACTTTATTTTTCTTTGTTTTGATATATAAAAAAAAATGAGAGAGAGAAAAAAAATAGTTAACAATTGGATCGTTCATCGGCATTCAATTAACGAGCTTTATCGATTCGATCCACTATCATCCCGTAACACCCTTTTTACATCCCCTAACACCCCCTTACGTTCCACCAATTCTTTGTTCTGTTCGGTACACCTCGTTGAGTCACATAAAAAAATTCATTATTTTTACAGACGAACTTTAAATGATATAAATAATGATAATAATAATTTGTGTTAACTCAGAGGAAGGGGTGGATAAATATTAATTATAAAATTATTATTAAATAAATGAAGAATAAATGAAAAATTCAAATTGCATTGGCAGGTATCGTAAAAACATTGTTTTCATTTGTTTCATAAAAGTAATCAATTTTTTTATTCGAAAAAAAAAATAAAAATAGAAACGAAGTATAATAATCTATGTAATACATTTTTCATACTATATATATATATATTTTATTTATTATTGTTTTTTTGTAGTAGTAGTAATAGTAAAACAATTTAAATTTCCATCGATACTCTCTACCTGTCGTAAATCTAAAAACTTCCGAGATTCAACAAAATTGTTTTATTCAATCGTATGCAAACGATACTTTGCAATGCAGTATAAGAAAAAAGTTTAAAAAAAATATTCTTCAAATAGAGGAATGAATTTTTCATCGAATACAAAGAAAAATCATATGCAATAGGGAATGATGATAAACTATAATATTCGATTGTAGATAATAGGATCATCTTGAAAAGAAACTTTAAAGCAAAATGATTCTATTAAATCTGTTAAAAGATATTTTTATACTTTCTTTTATCTTTATATTATTTTTTATGCACTAGTCCTATACTATTTCTTTTTTTTTCTTTTTATCTGTAAATCTATTTATCTTTCTTATCTCTTTTTTTTTATTCGATAAAGGAAAAAAAAACAAACGTTACATTTCTCTATTTTATTTTATTTTTTTTCATACTTTCAACATACTTTCCTTTTATTTTTCTACTTTTATACTTCACCAATTTTGATCTCCTTGTTATCACTATTAATCTATTTATCTATATATCTATCTATCATTCTTTCTTTTTCTTTCGATATCTACTTCAAGCTGTACGTGTAGAATATCGGAAAAATGTTTAACCGTATCGGAAAAGTGTAGAAAGAGTGAGAGAGAGAGAGACTGGATAAGATATATATCTGACTTAACTCAACGTTGCAATTTTTCTGGTGCATTTTTCTAACGATTTACTCAACCCAAAATTTTTCAAGAACTCTCTCCCTATCTATCTTTATCTCTCTTTCTTTTTTTTTCAAATCACTGAACAAAAATAAAAAAACAAAACAAAATGATTTTTATCAAAATGAAATATGAGAAACTATTTATAATAACGCGCGCGAGCGCGAGAAATATTTACATAATATAATTAATATTTTATTAATTATAAATTGTGTAAATTTAATATTATTATTTTATAAATTTAATAATTATTTGTTAATTTGTAACTTGTTTTTTTTTATTTGTATTTTGTAATTTGTAACTTGCCTTGGATAAAATAATAATTATCATTATAAATAAATTATATATTTATATAATAATAATAATATATAATTATATTTTTTCATGTAACATCTTTGATATATTTTTTTTTTCAACGATACAAATTTAATTGACAAACCATAAGTTGCAATTTATTGCAATGTAATATGTATACTATGTATATGCATATGTAATTTAAAAACAGAATACGTAAACGTGTTTCATAATGAGCTATTAAATATTTCGATTAGATTAAAAATTCTTAAAAAAAAGAAAATGTTATTTATACGACATGGACAATTTGTTTGATGAACTTTTTACGCGTGTCAGTAATATTGTTTTATGGATTAAAATCGTAATTTTTTTTACTTTTTTATACGAAACTAACAAGGTGGTGATCTCTGTGAGATGAATAAAAAAATTTTTTAATATTTCCAATGTTGGATAGAATAATAATAGAATAATAAAAAAAATAAAAATTAAAAAAAATAAAAATAGAATTCATAGGAAAGAAAATATAGAATTTTTGATGAAAATTTTGTCCACGTCAGAATCAAATGCGAATTTTTACAACTAACCCATAAGTTTGTTGGAACAAGAGAGTGGAGAGGAAAAAAAATGTAAAAAAAAAAAATTCCGAATAAAAATAATACGCTAACGTAGCTACATATATGGAAAATATATATATATATATATATTTCCTTGGAATAAAATAATAAAAAACAAAGAAAGAAAAATTAATCGAAATGAATATTAAAAATAATTTTGTTATATGAAATTTTGTTACACGTCACAGAATTGTATTACAAATATTATTCAACTAAAAAAGAAAAAGAAGAAGAAGAAGAAAAAAATTGCAAAAGAAATAACCACGAGAACATGATCTCTCTCTCTCTCTCTCTTTTTTTTCTAGGATATGAAAATATTCGAATTGGATAAAATAATCGAAAACTATGATCGGAAAGGTAAGAAAAAAAAAATCCGAAAAAACTTTCCATTAACTTTTTGCATGTCTCAGAAACATCTCGTACAAATTTAATAAAAAAATGAAAATAAAAAGTAAAAAATATAAAAATAAAAATATGATAAGAAATTTTTTAAAGAAAAAAGAATACGTCAAATGTTAATTTTTTCTATGATTATTTTACGATATCGTAGATTTTGATTGGATCTAATAAAATATAAAAAAAAAAACATAAAATAAAATGTAGAAAAAGGAGAAGGTAAAAAAAAAACAAGGAGGGGTTTAGAAAATATCGATGAAGCAATATGTTTTAGAACCCAATCGTATGGGTGACCATAAAATTTCTCCTGTCACTCCACTCGTTTCTTATGGCCCCCTTTTACACGTATCCCTTTTTTTGGTCGTGTAATAAAATATGTAAAAGATTTTTCTCCTTTCTCACACACCCTTATTCCACCTTTTTCCCCTCTCTTTCTATTTTCTCAAAAAAAATAAAAGAAAAAAGGGCGCGACAAGTAATGCGACGTGGAGTGCGGTTAAAAAAAAAAGATTAAAAAAAAATAAAAAGAGAAAGAGAGAGTGGGTGTGAGTGTGAGTGTGAGAGAAATGAAAAGAAAAGGAAAATAAAAAAATAGAAGAAGACACGAAGAGGTTGATAAGAGCCTCGTGGTATGTCTCATTACTTTAAAAAGTCAAATCAATGAATGGAATGAAAAATAAAAAAAAAATAAAATAAAATACAAAAAACCTAATGACTTTTTATTCCATAGTTTTAGAACTTGTTAAATATTTTCGATTCATATTTTAATTCAAATACTAATACACATGCACATTAGAAATGCATCAATCTTCTACTGTTAGATAATAATTTATTATTTAAATATTGTTGCCATTTTGATTAAGATAAAAAGAGAGATTAAATAAGTGAAATAGTTTAATTAAATATTCAAGTAAGTAAGTATTTAATTAAGTAATGTTCAAGTAAGTAATATGTTTAATTATTTGAATTGTTAATTGAGGTAATGTTGGAATTTGTATATACAATTAAATATTAGAATACTTTATTTATTATACTTATAAATATACTTAAAAAAAATAATATATTTAATATAAAAAAATATTAATTGAAAAAACCTAATGTGTTTTAAATAAATTCGAAACATACTACTTGTAAATATTATTACAATTTGCATGTATAATAAAATATTAGAATACTTTATTTATTATACTTATAAATATACTTTAAAAAGTAACATATTTAATATAAAGAACTATTAAATGAAACAACCTGATGTGTTTGATATAAATTCGAAATATACTAATCATAAATATTATTAAATCTCAGTAAAACAAATTCCAACGTTATCCTCATAGAGAAGTATATCAGTTAATTAATTAAATTAAACAAAAATAAATATAACAAAAATACAAACTTTCATGAAAGAAGAGTAAAGAGAGTTAGAATAATAGCAAACAGCAAGAATACCCATCGTTGTCAACAACGACACCTATAGTTTATAAAAAAAGAAAAAATAAAATAGAAAATACAGGAACAAGAAGGAAAAACACTAGACGACAAAAAGTACACAAACAGAACAAACTCCCATGAAAGAAAGTACAAACAAACAAAAGAAAAAAAAACATATACGAAGATAACCCAATACTCGCCATAATACGAAAATGCAAAAAAAAACCCAAATTAACAAATTAAATTAACTTCATACCAACCAAATAGAACTATTTTTGTAACAATTGTTTTTTTTTTATTTAAAATATAATATTGAGTTATTTTTCAATATTTTAACAAATATATTTCATTCTGAAGTTGCAGTTATGAGAAAAACAAAACCATTTGAAAATATGTCCTCAAAAAAAGGATCATTGGCGAGTAATGGGTTAAAGGGATGAAAAAAAGGTTAAAAAAAACTGAACACAACATCGAGATAGAAGAAAGAAGAGAGAGACTTGTCCCATTCGGCAGACGTACCCACCCTCTTGTAGGTCTATGCTCGTTTCCAGGTAGGGTTCCAGGTACTAAAGCAGTGTACCGAGTTTGTACTTCAGTTGGTAGTACGATGTCAACGCTCTTCGACCTGATGTTTTGTTGGGGTACATCAAGCGAATGACAATCCTCAGATTTGTTATTTTTATTATTGTTAAAACACGAATCAACCGATGCCGCACGATCTCTTTTAAGTTCTGGCACAGTTAAAAATATTTCTCTCACTACGAGTTTGTTGTTAACACCATTATTATTATTATTAATAGTTTTCGAATGATCATCAATGATGATATTATTATTGTCCAATAATTCGTCGTCAATTTCATCATAATCTTTGTCATCGTCCTCACGAGAACCAGACGGGGATGATGGTAAATCGGGTGGACAAGATGTTAATGCCTCTTGCCGTGACAATTTGGGAAAGGCTATGGACCTTCTGCGTGGTAATTCGGGACAAAGTTCAGCCTTGACATCAGAAATACTGCTACTACTACTGGTTGTTATGCTACTAGTAAGGGTATTGGTCGTAGTAGCATTGATAAGAAAATCTTTGGTAATTATCGTAGACGGTGACGGAGAAGATGGCGGAGGTGATTCAGGTTTTTCTGTACAGGACGTAAAAGTAACTCTGATCTCAGGGCTACCGTCCCTTTTAGATTCTAATTTGAAATCGAGTTCTTCATCGGTTGGTAGGTATTCTTCGTCTTCTTCCTCGTCAGCAACGTCCTCGACGTCATCGTCATCCGAATAATCATAATCGTCATCCCTTGATGAGGAACCTGTTGTTGTACCAGTAGTAGTAGTTGTTGTTTCATCATCGTCTCTGCTAAGAAAGAGATTTTTGTATTCCTCTACGCAAGCACAATGATAACAACCGGAAACTTGTATCGTCGGTGTGTCCACCCTTCGAATCGCGCCCAGCGACCTTTGCGACGGTGGTAATCCAACGTTCCTTTCGTACACATCGAAACTTTTGGAACGTTGACCAGTTTGCAATTGGGGTACCCTCAATGTTGAAAATCTTCTTCCTCTTCCCGAGGAATCCTGTGATCTTGCTGGTGAACAGGACGAGGAAGAGGACGATGTGTTTCTCGGTGATCTCGATGCTTCCCCGTACGACGAGGAACAACGTCCACCACCACCACCAACCCCAGCACCCGTCGAAGAAGAATCCTCCTGACGTTGAGCTTCCAATTGGATCTCGTCGAAGGACGCTGATCTCACCTGTTTCGGTACTTCCAGGCTCGATTGCGACTTCATTTCCGCACCCGTAGGTGTACGCGACCTTTTGAAGGTCGAACGAAATCTCTGCATTATCACTTGGCAGCTATCTCCCTAACGAGGACAATTCCTCCTCAAGTTTAGTTCTTAATTCGTGAGATAACAATTTCATCGAATCCGACCAATTACTTTGTTGGCCTCGGTCTTGTTGTTTTTCTTTATGGTGGTGGTGTTTTTCGTATTCTTGGGTTGGTCTCGTCCTTGTCCTTATTTTTAGTTCTTTTTCTTCTTCTTCTTCTTCTTCTTCTTCACTGGCACGCTTTTCGCCAAGCTGCCTCAGCAGCAAGCGTTTAGCCTGCTCAGTGTTGAAGAGGTCAATGACCTCGGCGGTGCACCTCACCGACGACGAGGTCGTCGTCGTCTCGAGCTGCCCTCGATCGCTGCACCCTTCCTCCACCGTGAACTTAGCTGCCGATCTGCAGCCCATCCTAAGTCTCTTCCCTCTTCTTCTTCTACTACTTTCTCCACCTTCTTCTTTCCTCACTTTCCACTCCTATCACTTACTTCTACCTACTACTATTACTCCGAGTTACATCAGCTGATCGTTACAATTTACGTCCATCAAACATCTCTCACCGATAAATCTGTTGTTCTGTCAACCTTCTTCTTCGACGATTTTTCATACCGATTGTCACTTTACAAATTTGATTTTACTTTTCTTTGATCAAACTTTATTGTTCAATTGTCATTGATACTTTTTACTGTTAGTATCTTCTTTCACCCTAACAAGTTCAAGCTTCTCAATTAGATTTTGTTTTCTTTTTTTTCTTCTTCATATAGATTTCACTTAACTTTGTCTTTGATACACTGCACGAATTGTTCATTCATGGTGATTGTCCAGAAGTTTTTTTTTTGTTCAAACTTTGTTGTTAATTAAAAAAATGTACACTCTCTTGTGTGTACACTTGTATCTTCTCTTCCTCTTCTTCTTCTTTTTCTTCTTCTTCATTAACAGATTTCTATTTTGATTTGATTAAAACGTAGTTTAGAAATATAATATTAACTAAAAAAATGGTCATTGAGCGTTAACGATCAACGACGAGAATAAAGCAAACGACTCGTGGTTCTTTAACACCACATTGAGATAACCACTATCAACACGTTGATCACAAGGCTAGGATGTGTATGTGTATATGTATGTTTATATGTGTAAGATTATCAGAAAGAACTTAGCGGTTTAGCCTGTTATTATCAGCGTTCGGGTTTTAGAACACGTGACAATTTCTAAATGTTTTCAAACTATAGTTTTATATACACTTTGAATCAAATCATTCGCAATTTTTTTTTATACCTCGTTTCAAAATTAGACAACAAATTAAAAATTATATTTAACACTCATATCAAACAAAGCCTAACAATTTTAAAAAATGAATAAAACAAAACCCAAAAAAAAAGGACAAAAACCTCTTCAGGAATCCTCAAATTGTACATTGCAATTACCCCTCGTTAGAATCAAAAATATGTTCATCAAATCCAAATAAACAAAAAGCAAACAAACAAACGTTCTTTCAAGTGAAAAATTCCTGTACACTGATCCAAGCAACTGGCCAATCAAATAAATGAACTAATCACAATAATCAGATACCATACAGGTTGGCCACGTTTTCAGTTTGAAGTGTTGTGTATCGGTAGACACGTAGAAAGAGAATGAGAGAAAATGAGTAGACGACCAACCAACGAACCAACCAACCGACCGACCAGCTGGATCTAATCGTTAACAGCACCACCACCACCATCACCATCACTACCACCACCACCACCACCACTAACACCAGAGTACCACCAGCAACAGCAGCAGCAGTAGCAGTAGTATCAGTAGTATAGTGCTGGTGACTGTTTTAACCACCCTCCAGCAGCCTAACGCGCGCGTGCGAAAAAGGAAGGATTGGCTGCCGGTAGAGGATAGACAAATAGAAAGATAGGTAGATAGATAGATAGGGGTTAGATAGTTGGGGTGGGAACAAGAGAAGGTGTTGGGTAGGTTACAAAAAAAATAGGATCCCTGAACTTATATGTAGGTGTGTCTATCTTCAAATATATATATATATATATATATATGTATATGTTGATAATATATATTAGTATTAGTTAAAAGGAACGTGCCGTGACAGGGTAGAACACTGTGCTCGGACTAGTGACCAGGGCTCAGCAATGCCGGTTGCTTCGGAACTTTCTCCTCTTGCTGTTTTAGGGGTGACTAAAGTGAGAAAGAGAGGGAGCAACTGAGGTGAATGAGGATTGGGTGAGGAAAATCACTGGAGGGAGAGAGAAAGAGAAATAACGACAGTATACCCTCTCACTCCCACTACTTCTATTCCTCGGTCAGACATGCGCCCTTTTATCATTCCATCTACCCCCACTACCATCCCTACCACCACTCACTCTCTCTCTCTCTCTTTGTGTACGCGACATACGTACATGATCCTATATACACGTGTGGTACGTGTGTACTCTTTCATATTAACGTTGTATGTATTCGATATATGTACTAATACTTGTTTTTGGTATGGGGGTTTTGCTATGGGGGTTGTATTCGTCTTCTGTATTATGGGTTATGTGTATATTCGTTACACTGTATGTGTAGATACATTTCATACACTATTACATATATGTATATGTACGTGATTTTTATATGTATATTTATGTATATATTTAATATACTAAACTTGTATTTGTACTAATACTAATATCGTTTCTTATACACCTGTAATTATATATTGGTGTGTGTTAAGAGTTCAGGGGAAGATTGAGAGTTTGGATGCTGAGGGTTTCAGAGTTCGAGGGTTGAGTTGAAGGGTAGGAGGGAACCTCATGTGTACTTCGGGGTATTTTTTTTTTTGGTTGTACATGTACACATATGTACGTGTGTGTAATACATCATCGTCGTGTTAGGCAAGGGCAAACACGTGCGAATTTTTTCTTTTCTTTCTTTCTTGTTCTACCGATTTTATTATACAAAGCACAACCACCCTCTTCCCCTCCTACGTTTTTTTTTCTTTCTTGTTAGTTTCTTTATCTACCTGTCGTATCTTAGCTAAGGGATGTAGAAATAGTCTCAGATAAGATAGGATTCATTCATCTTATCTTTTCTTCGGATATTCTTTAAGTTTCCTTTTTTTATTTGTGTGTGTGTTTTCTTTTGGTTTTGTTTTCTTTCCATCACTTTTTCTGAAGTATATTAGAAGAGAGTATTAGAAATATTTGCGAAGAATAAAAAAAAGTATTATGGGGATGAAATAGATTTAAAAGAGGAATGAATCGACGAAGAGATAAAGAAAATGGGGGGAAGGACAAGTACAAAGGGATAAAAAGAGTAAGTGGGACGTATTTTATTGAGAACGAGAGAAGAACTGTGGTAATAAGAGAAAGAGAAGCTTTCAAGTAGGTTTAGAGTTTCCTTGTTTAATCTCCGAACATAGGTGCATAGCGAATGATATCAATTCTTGCGAATATTCTAGAAAAGATAGATAAAATGATAAGAAAAAATCATAGAAAATGTGAGAAAAAGAGAAGGAGGGATAAAAATTGTAGAATTGGTTCTTTAAAAATAGGAAAAAAAATAGAAAAGGGGTAGTAATTTAGTTTTTATTTCTGTTTATGTGTTATTCGAAATTTCATTTCATTTCAGTTCTTATAATAGAAAATGATTTTTTTATAATATATAATTTAATATATAATTTATTATATAATATATATATTATTATAAATTTTAAAATATTATATAGTATATTTGTTTATATTTTGTATATTTTTTTAATTTATTTTATTAATTAATAAATTAACTAAATGTGAGTTGCAACTTGCATTGCGAATCTTCAAAATGCACCTTGCATTCTCGATTAGATAATAAAAGAAAGAATGAGTGAAAGAGAGAGAGATATATAGAAAGATATAAAAACGCGAAGATAAAATTAAACATTAAAAGAAAATAATAAAAAGAAAAAGAAAATACTAAGAAGCTTTTATTTTCTGTATGCAACCACCACTCTAACTTTTATCTCTTTCTATCTCTCTCTCTCTCTTTTACTCCATTTCTTTSCCTCGTTTATTTTGTATTTTTTTTCAACCATCTTCATAATTTTTAATTCTATATTTATTTTTTATTATTATTCTTTTAAAATTTTAAGTCTTCAATAAAAAGATAATATTAAAAAATTAATTAATTCATTTATTCAAACGATCATCTTTTTCTCGCGTTTATTTATTATTATTTTTTCGTATATCGGTGTTTTTTATTTTTTTTTTTTTTTTATATATCCGTGGGTCATTTTGTTAATTTTTTGTTTCTTTGTAAAAATATCTCGAAAATGAATTAATAATAATAATAATAATAATAATAATAATAATAATAATAATAATAATAATAATAATAATAATAATAATTCGTGTTATTAGGTGAACGTGTTATGAAAATTCTTTTGTCCTTTTGAAATTTGCGATGAATGAAAATGAGAGACTAAAAAACAAAAATGTGAAAGATAGAGATAGATAGATAGATAGATAGATAGATAGATAGATAGATAGATAAATAGATTGAACATGAAGATAAAATAGAAAAAAGAGGGAAGCTTATTTTTATACGCCACTTAAAATCTTATCTTTTTCTCGCTCTCTCTCTCTCTCTCTCTCTCTCTCTCTCTCTCTCTCTTTCTCTCTCTCATACACACAGACACAGACACAGATACATTCTTTCTATCTATTGTTTTTTTTGGAGCTTTTACTTTTTTTATCTTCCCCATTTTTGTTTTCCTCTTTTCATGTTCCGTTCGTTCGTCCTTTGTGTTTGTGTTTGTATAGAAAATATCCTAAAAACGGATTAATAATCTTTTACCCAAAAACTACCCTCTGTATGACGTTATCTTTCCTCTTATTTCAATTCTTTCAATTTGATTTATTTTATCTAACCCCGTTTAAAAATATTCAATGCTATTTCTTTTTTTTTAATTTTTTTTTGGACAAAAAAATATGGAAAGAATAATATAATTTCTAATTATTTGCAGTAGTTATTCTCTCTCTCCTGAAAAATTTTTCAACTTAATTATACAACGTTTTGTCCTTTATCCTTATTTATTTTTTATTTTAGTATTATTTTTATTTCAATGATTATTATAAAAGTCAACGAAATCGCATAAATTTTCCATCGATAATTTTCTATATTTATTGGATTAAATTGAACAATTTAAATTTGCAATCGTAAATAAATTGAATTAAAATTAAAAAAAGAATTGAATAATATCGTAAATAAAATCGTACAAGTTTTATTTAAAAAATTACAGAATTTTAAATTATAGTTTATCGTATGAGTTTCATAGTTAATTGAACGAAACTATGACAATAAAAATTATAAAAAGCTTTAAAATACTATATTTAGTAAAACTATAAAAAGTTATAGAATATTATATTTAATAAAGTTATACAAAACTATAAAAATTATAAAATAAGTTTAATAAGTATGAAAGAAATCGAAGAACCAACAAACCAACTAACCAACCAACTATGAAAAAAAAATATAAACGAATATTTATAATAAATGAACAACCAACTAATCAACCAACCAACCCAACTAAGAAAAAAAAATATCAACGAATAAATATAATAAATGAACAACCAGCCAACTAACCAACCAATAAATGAATCAAACAAACAAATACAAAAATGTCAATCAAAAAACAAAAAGTAAAACTCATTCTTGCGAATATAAAAATTCAGCATACTTTTAGTGAAAGCACTTTTACTACGCGTTGCGTTACGCTCGATATCGATTACTATTTTGCTTGACTTTCACATAAGCGACAACCCCCGTAACAACCCCTTTCGTCTACCCTCTCTCTTCTCCTCTCTTTCATCCATTTTCTCATCTACTTTCCCTTCCTACTCTCTTCGTACGTATAATCATCCCACACCCACACTATTCTTCTCCTCTTCTTCTTTCTTCACATACACATAAACATTTATATATATAAATATAAACTCATACATAGAGAAATGTGTCTATTAGGTCATTAAATATGAAATGTCTGATTTCGAGGTGAAAATAATCCGAGTAATCAGACATTTCATTGTTAATAACCTAATACATAAACTCTTCTATCTTTGTCACACTCTATTTTCGGGATTCCCCTGTTTTTTTTGTTTTTTATTTATTTCTTTATTTTCTTATCAAACAGACAATTTTTGTTCTCCTCTTTTATCTTCCTTATAACAGAAATGTCTTTGTCCTCTTGATAATTTAATAGGAATATTCAGTAGACGACTAAAATCATTTATCATCTTATCTAAGATAATTAGACTTTCTAATATAGTCTAACATACTGACTGACATTATCGATTTCTTGTATA